GCAGATCACCACTGGCTTTGTGGATGGGGTCGCCATAAATATTTTAAGAGTCTTTATGTTTACAGTGCACCAGGTTGTGTAGCCCCCTTAACCTCTCGCTTCCTGCCCCCTCCTCCCCGTGTTGTGCTTGCTTGCGTGCGTGTGTGTGCGTGCGTGCGTGTGTGTGCGTGTGTGTGTGTGTGTGCGTGCGTGTGTTTACTAAAAAATGTTCCATGGGGCAGCGTGCGGCTCAGTCGAGCATGCCTCAAATGGATAAAAAATAAAGTTAAAAAACTCTACTGGAACAATTACGGAAAAACGATAAAAGCTTCTTAGTGAAACATTATACCCCCGAGTGTGTCTGGGGGCGGGGGGAACTGGGGACACTCCCCCCCCCCCTCCCACGCCCCAAGCTGCCGCACAATATTCCTCACACACACACACACACACACACACACACACACACACACACACACACACACACACACACACACACACACACACACAACACATTGACCGGGGGCTGCCCTAGACTGTATATGAAAGGTTAAATAGTTGGCGTCGAGAACTAGCTGCGATATTAAAAATCCCAATCTCGCAGGATGGTTAGTCACACAAGGAGCATGTGATCAGTAGCCTGCAATGGCAAATTGGAGGCGATATCTGGATATCCTCAAGCATATGAGAATGAATAAAGTAATTTTAAAGCTCCCAGGTGCCTCATACCCTGGTCTGAAGACTGAAGTAACTGGACATTCGGTGATGTAGTGTGGAAGATCATGCCGCAGTTCCTGCTCACAGAGTTTGCTGCACCTGGAGTGCTCACGATTTGGAGATCCGTCACCTGTAGCCACCTGCCACAGGTAACGGTAGCCACCTGCCACAGGTAACGGTAGCCATCTGCCATAGGTAACGGTAGCCATCTGCCACAGGTAACGGTAGCCATCTGCCACAGGTAACGGTAGCCACCTGCCACAGGTAACGGTAGCCCAACCTGATCCTGGCAACCACTACATTACACACAGAAATCACAATTCCGTGATGCATCAAATGAACAAATGCACAAGGGCCGTGACAAGGATTCATCCTCGTCACGTCCCTTGTGGATTTGTTCATTTGATGCATCACGCAATTGTCATTTCTGTGTGTAATGAAGTAAGGGCGAAGAGGGAAAACGGCTTATTGACATAGCTCGAGTGCATGGGGGAGTTGTGTAAAACCCTGGTTTGTGCCTCGGAGAGGCTGCAGGATCCAGTAAGTTCAGTAGAACTTCGGTTTCAACTCCTTTTGACCATGTCGTAGCTCAGTCGATTAAGGCAGCGTCTATGATGTTCTCGGACGCAGGTTCGAATCCTCGTCACGGCCCTTGTGGATTTGTTCATCTGGCAACCACAGTGTCGCACTGTCTGGCGGACGTTGTGTACTGCCCAAATATACAGGAATAAAATCTATACAAATCCTAGATTTTTATACAAGTGTTTTCAGTGCTTTGAGATTGTCTCACGTCGCCTCCTATCAGACGTAACTGTTTGGAGCACATTAGTCTTAACAACGGAGATGGAGACACCTCTTGTTTACCTCAACCTCAACTTTATGTCCTGCTAACTTAGCTAGTATGACGGTCATCGTGATGAGTTATATTTGTGAGACGGTATCAAGAGATTGCAAACCCCCTCGACCCAAAACTCTACGGAAAACCTTCCCCACGTTTCATTTAATTCAGCCACTGCTCCCGAACTCGGCGGGTGCCACCCCCCATCCTCCTCAACCATCACTGGCTTCCCATTCTCTTGATTTGCCACAACGTACAAAATACCGGGTACTAGACCTGACGAGCCCAAGCCACCCACCTAACCCAATCTACGCATAGAAAATGTGGATACTTGGGGGGGGGACGGGGGGGAGGGGGGAGGGGGAGGGGGGAGAGGGGGGGGGGGGAGAGAGAGAAGAGAGAGAGAGAGAGAGAGAGAGAGAGAGGAGAGAGAGAGAGAGAGAGAGAGAGAGAGAGGGTGGGAGAGAGAGAGAGAGAGAGAGAGAGAGAGAGAGAGAGAGAGAGAGAGAGGAGGGGGGGGGGGGAAGAGGAGAGGAGGAATAGACAGAAGGAAGAGGAGGCAGGAGAACAGTAAACAGACAGACAGAAGAGGTGGGGGGGGCGGGAGAGC